TGGATCAACTTTTAATTGTATGTATTAATGTGATGTTGAAAGACTCGACCTCTAAAACCCTATGCGGTTCGACTCTTTTGATACGATCCGGGAAAGAACCGTTAGAAAACCCGGAAAGATTACAAATCATTCCATTACACAAACAGTTCATCAAAATTATGATCAAAACTCATATGGCCGGGTGATGCAGCCACCGAACCACCGCCGTGTTCTACTTCAAAGTCATCCATCATGCTCGAAAACCATCCATTATCTTCTTGAATCTCCGCCGCACTAGCCGCTGCGTCCCCGCGTCGTCGTCTTTTAGCAAGAAATCTTCCACCATCTCTAGCGTCCATGCTGTATCACCAGAAACCCCACTAAGAGGAGCCGCCGCCACCGCCGCCGCCGTATTGGTGGTGCATGGACATGTCTCATTACTTGCGGCATCATCATTTTGTAACAAGGCGGGGGCGGCGGTCATGTCTTCGACCTCTATTCCGCCGAACAGCTCGTCGTACGAAAACGACACGTCATCATCGTTGTTGTTTTCTTGTTCTTGTAACACTAGCATCATTCTTGGCGCGTCCTCCGCGGCATCAACGTTGTCGTCGTGGATTGGTCCTCTCTTCTTCCTCTTCAACCGGCATATGACGAAATCTTTGCGGTCGGACTTGACGGTGCCTTCCGGGAGAGAGAACTCGCTCATGACGAATTCGCCCTTGCGCTCCTCGTCATCTCCCCGCCAGTAGGTGAAGTTCCTCTTGAACCCTAAGAGAGCCTGTTTCCGATCGGGGTTGAAAATAGTCTCAACTTTACTCGTCCCGTGCCACGTCCCCTTCCCCACGGAGCGGAAAAACCTCTTCCCCGGGCCCTTAGTGGCCGGTTTCCGCTTCAGCTCCGTGAAGAAGTACCAGGTGTTGTCGTCGGCTGCGGCCGTGCCACGGCCGGTGCAAATCTCCCAGGGCTCTTCATCCGCGTAGAGATGACGTCGCTCCACGAGGCCGCCGGTGTAGTCTCCGTCAGTGAACTGCCGTAACATCTTTAGCAGCTCGGCGTCAGTTGGCCGGAAACGCATGCCATCCCCACTCATCTTCTTCTTGATCTCTCTCTCTCTCTCTCTCTCTCTCTCTCTCTCTCTCTCTCTTCTTCGCACCTTGATAATGAAATTTGTTTGGAAGTATTGATGACGGCAGTCACGCCACACAGACACACACATATATATACGGGGTACGAAGAAGTTGCCCTAATTTCCTTTTTAATTTAATTTAACTCTTAATATTATTAGTATGGCTGCGTGCACTAAAAGCAATTAGTATGACGGCCTCTTTAATTACTTCTTGATTACGTGCTTAGGGTACATTTTTACTTCTTGATTACGTGAGTAACTCTAAATAAAGTTGTTTTGTGAGAATATATGTAACACCCTAGCTACCCGCGTAATACGAATACATGAACTAGCGGATCAGGTTGTTATTAGATAATTAGCATCCAAACACATCATATTTCAAAAGATTTTAAGACATTTAATTTAAATATTAATGAGAGTAATATAAAAGAGTGCCGAAGTTTTAATACTTAATTCAAACACAAGTTTAGATCCATGCGTGAAAACATAATAAATTCAACTCAAATACTTCCTTCGTCCCTGAAAACCTTTCTCCTTTCTTTTTTTATCCGTCCCAAAAAACACTTCTCATTTCTATTAAAAAGTCACTTGTACCCATTAC